AATGTATTTTCCGGACCAGTTAACTTGCAAAAATCATTTGACGACCTTCCCGATTGAATTTTTTGCTGAAATTTGGTATGGATAAACTAGACTTGATTAGGAACCTACACAAAACATTTGAGCAAAAAATACCATCGGGAAGGCCCCCAAATGGAGGAGGCCGGACGGGGAGAGTGGTCCGGCCTGGCCGGACCTGAATATTAGTGTATATATATATATATATATTAACCCCGAAATTCACCTGGATGGGTGTGGTAAATGTCGGGAAGCATTTACCATATTTATTAAAATTATTATTATAAAGGTTGTACAGTTGTTGAAATGAAATACAAGAATAAGAGATAGGAAATAATGAAAAGTTAGAGTTTGGGCCCGAATTTGCCCCTAAATTGTAAAGAGATAAAGCTAGAGTCCAAGAGAAGGAATATATTCCCCTGCGATCCAACATAATAGTCCAACCGCCCTTTGTCGAGATCCAGGAGCGTCCAGATTGTATGACGGTTGGAGTACTTGGAGCCTGAGTTTGAGAGATTCCGCATATTATCCCGAATCCCTAAAGAAAATCGTGCCCTTGAGGTCTTTGAGGTAAGAGTTTTTTGCTAGATATGGCATTGTGTGTAGTTGAAATATCTGAAGGCTTGAGGTTTTAAGTCCATGTTTGGCCAGGAAGTGCGACGGCTGGTTTGCTTCCCTTCTGCAATGTACGATCTAAATGTTGTGGAAGTTTCGAAGTTCGCGAACGGCCTGCGGGTCAGCGGTCAGGTATGAGGTGCGGTTCCGGTGAGAACACTTCTTAACGTGAGAAATGAGAACGCTCCAAAACGATGCACTTTATTATTCACGAAAATGCACATTTATAGTTAAAGTAATGCAAAATTCTATTGTGAACTTTTACGTGTAAACTTTTGCACAGTTGAAAAAGTTGCAAAAGTTAAACATTTGGCTTTATAAGTTATGTTTAATGTATTAATAGTTTATTAGGACATATATGTCTTGGCAAATAAATAGATATCATTTCATTTTCATTTACCCCAATGCCGCAAAGGCTCCCACCTACGGTGGGGTAACGTATTAATAGTTTATTACGACATATATGTCTTGACATATATTTATCACAATAAAATTATACTTTTGATTTAGAGTTGTTGGATTTATAAGTTATGATTTATGTTATATAAGTTACCTTATTGACTTTATTAGTTAAATTTCGCAGTTCTCAGCCTAAGACACTTCTCACGTGATCTTTTCCCTATATATATATATATATATATAGTAGCAATAGTTGGTGTTTCCCCTTGTCGGACGTACGTACACAAAAGCTTTCATCATAAGCATACAATTGGCGATGGACGAATGTTGAAATATGTTGTTGTTGTAAGTAAGACACAGACAGTGGTAACATATATTTTGAACAAAGCAGATACATAGGTAAGTGATGGTACCATGGAGTCTAACCATGGCCCAATTACGTAACCAGCCCATAAACGGGATTAGCCCTTGACGGGATTAGCCCTTGACGGGATCAGCCCTTGACGGGATTAGACCTTGACGGAATCAGCTCTTGACGGGATCAACCTAATTAACAGGATTGGCCCATAAACGGGATCAGCCCTTAACGGGATTAGCCTAATTAACAGGATTAGCCCATAAACGGGATTCATATTGAATGAGCCGCTGGCCCCATTAGGAATTAGGCCCACGATAGGAACCCACAGCCAGGCCAGGCTAGACAGCCACGATAGGTTCCAAACCCCGGAGTGCCAACCCGCCTTTGAAGACCTCAAAAAATATTTACAATCAGATCTGCTGCTCAGCAAGCCTGAGGCTGGAGAGACCCTGACTCTCTATTTGGGAGTAACAAAAAAGCGCGATCAGCTCTGTTTTGGTGCGCGAAGAGGGAACAGTGCAGAAGCCGGTTTACTACATGAGCAAAGTCCTTCATGGAGCCGAGCTTAGATATCCAGCACTGGAAAAGACCGCTCTCGCAGTTTACACAGCGGCCATGAAGCTGGTGCATTACTTCCAAGCTTACCCAATCAATGTACTCTCGGACCTGCGGGTCGGCACATTATTCAGGACAGTCAAGACAGCCAGAATTGTGAAGTGGTCCTTGCTGATCAGCCAGTATCAAGTAAGTTTCCAACCTAGATCATCAATCAAAGGTCAGGCCTTAGCAGACTTATTGGTTGAATGTACTGCCTGGGACTTGACTGAAGAAAAGAGACATGAAGAGGAAGAACTGGTGGACCCTGATGACTGATGGATCGTCATCAGGGTCCAAAGGTTGCGGAGGAGGGGTGGTCCACATCACCCCTGAAGGCTTCAAAACTTATCACGCCCTCAGATAAAAGTTTAACCTATCCAATAATGAAGCTGAGTACGAGGCCTTGCTGTCAGGCCTCATGATAGCAATCCACTTCAAAGCACAAAAACTGAGGATTAATAGCTACTCTAAGTTGGTCATCAAACAGCTTAGAGGGGAATACGAAGCCAACCCTAAACCCTGACCCCTGACCCCTGACCCCTGACCCGAGACCCGAGACCCTAGACCCGAGACCCGAGACCCGAGACCCCTAGACCCCTAGACCCCTAGACCCCTAGACCCATAGACCCCTGGACCCCTGACCCCAGACCCCTAACCCCTAAACCCTAAACCCTAAACCCTAAACCCTCAACCGAAACCCTAAACCCTAAACCCTAAACCCTAAACACTAAACCCTAAACCCTAAACCCTAAACCCTAAACCCTAAACTTCTGCTAAACCCCTCAGAATTAATCCTCTTGAACTCACGTCAATAGAAGAAGTTAAGGCACTGGAGCCTTATTAAAAGCTTCACTGTCCCCAATTAAAAGCTTCTATGACCCCACTTCGAAACATATAATTAATCCCCCTCAAGAAGGCTTCAGGCATAATGATAAATAACAATGGGACAGTGGATCCCCTTGTTTAACCCCTTTTTGTGGCCGAAAGTATCCAAAAGATGAACCATTAAGAAGATCTGAAATATGAGTTGCATTTAGGTTTCCCATAATAAGTCGTCTGACTTGTTGTCTAAAACAAAATTTATCCAATATAGCTTAGCATCAAGAAAACCACATGCTACTCTATCAAACGCTTTTTCCATATCCAATTTGATTACCAAGTTTGAGCCACACACCTTTTTATCTAGATAATGTAGCATCTCAAAGGCAACCAAAACTTGATGATGTATCTCTTTTCTTTTCATAAAACCTGACTACTCATTAGATATAATTTTGGGGAGGATACACGACATCCTTGAGGCTAGTATGCGAGTATTTATTTTACATAGAAATGTAGATAGGCATATAGGATGAAAATCACCAAATGATACATGATTTTTCTTCTTTGGAATCAACACCAAATTTGCACTTCCAACCCCTTTAGGAATAAGGATCCCTAGAAAAAATTCCTGGACAGCCAACACCACATCATTCTTTATAATTTTCCAGCAACCTTTGAAAAAACAACCTCCAAACCCGTCTGGTCCTGGAGCTGCGTTTGTACTAAGACCCCAAATAGCCTCCCGAACTTCCATTTCTGTGGGTAACGTAACTAAATTGGTGTTATCCCCCTCTTGCAAAATAGGAGGAATATATCGAAGAATGTCATCATATGAATCTGTTGGCTCAAAGTGGTATAAGTTTTCAAAAAAAAACTTACTGCTTCAGCCCCTATCTCCTGTGTATTATAAACCCATTCTCCATTACTCTTCTTAATGGCTCTAATAAATTGCTTCCGAATCTTATTTTTAAGTGAAGCATGAAAAAACTTGGAATTGGCATCCCCTTCCCTCAACCATTTTATACTAGCCTTCTGCTTCCAATATACTTCATGTTGCTTTATCCTCTTCAAAAGTTCAACCTGAGTTCTATGGCAGTGAGCTCTAGTATCCTCTGTCAGGTTAGCCTCAAATTCATGTTCTGCACTAATAGCCTCCTGCTCCAGTCTTTGTGATTCACTAAAAATGTTACCAAACACATCCTTGTTCCATGCTTTCAAGTCCAGTTTCAGAGCCTTAAGTTTTGAACACATTCCTCTCATACCCCCTATCCTTGGATAGCTTTCCCATTTTTCTTTCGCATAGGGCATGAAATCTTCTCTAGAGAACCACATATTCTGGAAACGGAACTGTGATGGTCCTCTAATCAAATTAGTTTCACAAATTCGCAAAATAGGACAGTGGTCAAAAGAAGCCTTACTCAAATGTTGAACATTGCATGTTTCAAAAGAATCAATAAACTCCTTATTCACCAAATATCTATCTAACTTCTCCCAAATACGTCCATTAGACCTTACCCCAGTCCACGTGTAAGAAGAGCCCAAGGTACGCAGCTGGTTTAATTCACATGCATCAATACAGTCTCGGAAGTCAGTCATATCTCCAATAAGAGGCTGTCCAGGCCCTTTATAATCCTCCAAAGTTGAGACTACATTGAAATCACCTTCTAATACCCAAGGAATATGTTCAGTTTGTGCAAAATTTTTCAAACCTTCCCAAAGTAGACTTCTCTCTGCCATAGTATGCTTGCCATAAGCTGGCGAGAAAACGAAAGTGAGATCTAACGGCACATATCTCATCTTAACCACCAAAATTTGATCTCGATTAATCGCTGAAATTAAATCAAAATCAAAAGCATTCCACATTACCCAAATTTTATTTGACGCCGACATGTAAATGTTGGAAAACCCCAACTTATTTAAATAAAGAACACCAGTGGAGGGACTGACCATTGGCTCAATAATAGCTATACATTTTAAAGAATGGTGTCTAACAAAATCACGAAGTCTCGGGCACGTAGAAGCGAGACCACGCACGTTCCAGTTTGTCTCTGCCATAGGTGGTCGCTGTGTCGATGACGGAAGTCACCTATCGAAAGCCTACCTCGTGCCGCCCACATCGCTCATGCATCCCCCTTCCCCCTCCGTCAAATTGATGATTAGTCGTGTTAAATTAGAGATTAAGATATATATACGAGGAAGAATCTCTAATTTCTTACTATGTCACTTTTCATAGTACTATGTTAATTTGTTGATGAGTAAGATTATTGGATTTGTTTTCAAGATTAATAGATAAAGTAGCTAATGCTAACAGTTTTGAATGACCACGTATTTAATTTGCTATAATGTGCAACGCATGAGTGAAAGACTAGTTGAAGGAAAATAAAATACATGATAAAACAAAATTTGAAATGAATTCAGGGATCTTGAAGCAATCTGAGAATATTCTGCTCTGGTGCACTGATAGATGGACAAATAGGGTGGCCAGTGGGGTGACTACGTGTTGTAGTTAAGGCCTCTTCCTGTATTCCCTCTTTCCAAATTCTTCCATCCTGCATTCCACAATAAGTCCATATGTATTTATGTACACATAATTAGTTATTTATTGTATATAAATATAAATACAGTGATATATCCTGGTTCAGAGGTGTTATAATCCTCCTACATCCCTTAATGCCGTCATTTAATGCTTGTGAGGTACCTGGGTCCCTTTGTTGATAGAAACGGAATCATTCTTTTCTCAAAAAAAAAAATATATATAAAGAAACTACAACTTGGGTAGGATGGCAGTAACATTCTTGGAAATCAACATAAAGAATTCCTTCACAATTTACTTGTAATGCTTCCGGGGTAAAAAAAAAAAAAAAAAAAAAAAAAAAAATAAAATAAAATAATTACTTGTAATGCACCTCTGATGATTACTTGTAAAGATTTAGATCTTTCGCGAGATAAGCAAGGATAGTAGCCACTGAATTGCATTCATATTGTGTGCCCATGTATAATGTATTTGTTAGTACCCAATTTTGATAGATTTTGATGATGCCACTATACTCCACTTTAGTACATTGTGTCCTAATTAAGTTCGAACATTTGTTTTCAAATTTCTCATAAGTGACAAAAATAAATGTACAATTTTTGAGTCTAATGAAATATTACCGAAAAGTAAAAATGCAATAAGGTAATTTTTATTTACCTTAATAGGATATTTAGATCCTACCGGTATATGTCATTTGGCTCAAAGATTAATTAATTGTCACATTTTTTTGGTACTCGGATATCATACATTGAATGTGTATGATTAGAAGACAAAGCTTGACCAGCATTAAATGCTGAATCAAGTACACGGACCTACAGCATGGGACACATAAAGTAATCCACCGGCTACCAATAAGTGAAGACAACTTCGACAAATGATCCAGCACAAGAAGACAAGTGTACAACTTATCCTTGCCAGAATTTCAACGCCAAGGATTAAATCATCTCAACCAACGGATGAGATTAATCAACTATGGAGGCCTATAAATATAGGTAGAAGCATAAGTTCTAAAATAAGCTTGAGCATCCTAAGTAGAGAAATACTTCCATCAAAGCATATACGAGCTATCTAGCAAAAGAGAAAGTGCTAATTCAACTTCACTCTTTGCTTAGACTCATGCTTCACTAAGCTCTTAGATCAGATTAACATTTTTCATATTTTTAGAGCTTAGTTCATAGTTGGAGGTTAGAACTTTCTTGTAACATTTCACAAGTGGTTGTAAACACTTAGGAGAACAGTTGTTCGGATCCTAAAGTGTAGTTAGATAGATAGATAGAGTACCTTTTGATCCCCACTGGATCAATCGAGAAAAGTCTACAGACTGAGTAACTTTGAGTGGTGTCATACTCATTGTGAAAAACCTTCAATCTAGGCCTAAGTGTTGTAAAGGCCAGATTGTCACTAAGTGTATTGGGCTGAATACTTTAGTGAAATCCATCTGAAATAGGGTGGGACTGGATGAAGGAGGATTACACCACCTCTGAACCAGGATATATCGTGTGTTGATTCTCCTTTACTCAACAGAGCACACACCCAACACTTCTCATTAAAGGGATCGTAGTTTGCCAGCAGCATCCTAAGCAGTAGTCTTAATTGACTTTACTGCTTATCCTACTGCTTTATAACTCACTTTTCCTTGAAACAACTGTTTCACACAAGGTTTGAATATCACTACTAAAAGGTGTGGTTTGTCAGTCTTCAAAGATACTTCATTCATACGCAGCAGACGACTTAGGAGTTTACTGGGTTCATCCAACTGCTCAGACCCCTGCTCAGGCAAAACATCTCATTTTCTCATTCTCTACACACATTCGGTTAGCCCTTATCATTCTGTACAAGGCCATATAATCATCTCTTCCAAACTCATATTTTCCACTAGCAGTTGCCTCAGCAGACCCCTGCCATCCAGGCAACTGCCAAGCCAACTGCTCACTGCTCAAAGTCCAAACATCATTCAAGCTAGAGAGCTGTCACACATTAATCATCAAGAGGTTAAAGACTTCCGCTGTGCATCTGTAAATTTCCTAGAAGATTACAGATCAACTCATCTAGAAGGGGAAAAGTTTTTAAAAGTCTATTCACCCCCCTCCCCCCCCCCCCCCCCCCCTCTAGACTTTTACCTCTATCAGGGACCATCAGTATTTAGAAGCCAGGCAATAATTCCACCGTGCATGCCAATAAGTGCAACCGTTCGCACTTTAAATGGGAATGCCACTTTTTATTTGAATCACACCAATACAAAGATAATTACCCTAGGTATAACTAAAACTTCTTCACTTTCCCAATGCAAGACCTAACTAGTTTTTTTTACCAAAATAATACTAAAATTCATAATATTTAATTAAAATTCGTCATTAATAATTAATAATTAATTTAGGTGGAGAAATATACCTTTTAGTTTACACCTATAAAACCCTAAGCTCTTACCCATTTTCTACAACCCTAGCTATAACCTCCCAACACCCACATGTACATGCAGCCGCCCCACTGTCTAGTCGCCCTGCCATCCAGCCGCCGCCTGCCGTCCAGCGTCGTCGCCTTCCACAGAAATCCGATATAGGAGCACAATTGCCAACCCAGAAGCAATGTGGCTTGCTGGGTGATAAGTCCGTATTTAGACACGCATTTGATGCGTGTTCGGATCGGATTTTGATGGTTTTCCTAGATTTAAGGTGTTATAAGTCTCAATTTTAGCTCAAGTTATGTTTATCAGGCGTTGGTTCGAGTTTTGTGTCATTTGGAGTCAAAATCAGGAATTTAGAGTTCGGCACCGGCGCTTAAGGAGAAGTCGGGACGAGTTGAGTAGCATTTGAGATTGATTTGAGAGCTATGGAGGTCACCGGGAGGTTTATGATGAAGATATGATAACAAAAGAGCTCTAGGATTGGTTATGAGATCAAAAGAAGATGAATAAAGCTTGAAAACGGCATTCGGGATGACCTTCTGTCAATCGTTCAAGCATATCTCTTTGTAGAAGCATCCCAAGAACACGATTCAAAGTCCACATGAAAGTTAACTTCAAGAGCTACAAATCATATGAAGACATCATTCCGAGAATCTGATAGGAAGAAGATGAAAACAGACAATGAAGTCAGATGGTCCCTACTACGATTTCAGAATGAGACCTTCCACCATTTTATTCATATCTCTGATCCAAATCCAATTTGGAAAGTTGTGGTGGATAGAGGACTTCATTGTCTACAACTTTCATGAAGGAAGTTTTGTCAAATTCGGAGGTTTTACGCACGCCGTGCGTAGGAGAACGCACGACCGTGCGTCTGAGGCGAGAAAGCAAAGAACCTATTGCCAGCAACGCACGGCCGTGCGTGGGGGGACGCACGCCGTGCGTTGCCAAATTTCGTGTTTCATTGCTCCGGACGCACTGGGGGATGCACGCCGTGCGATGGCCCCGTGCGTTCCCCCTGGAATCCTAATTTCACCCGAATTTGTTCCGTTTTTCCTATTTATATATGATAACCTACAAACTATCAAAAACGGTGCATCTTTACATTATTTGTACTGCATATTGAAGTTCAAAGTGTTGCATATTATTTGTACTGCATATTAAAGTTCAAAGTTTTGCATATTGTTTTTATTGCATATTGAAATTCACAGTGTGCATCTTTACATTATTTGTACTGCATATTGAAGTTTAATGTGTTGCATATTATTGAGTTAGTAAGTTAGTATTTTAAGCATGGTTAGTATGCGATCTCTTATATATATATATATATATATATATTATATATATATATATATATATATATATATATATATATATATATATATATATAGGGAGCGGATCAGGTGAGAAGTGCTTTTAGGCTGAGAACTGCGAAGTTAAACTTATAGACTAAATATAGGAACTTTTAACCAATAAATCATAACTTATAGGCCCCTCCAAAAAAATTATGAAAATGCCACCACAAAAAAATAATTACGGAAACTTGGAAAAAAAATTGACGCGGTGGCATTTTTGTAATTATTATGGAGAGCTTTATAAGTTATGATTTATTGGTTATAAGTTTCTATATTTAGTCTATAAGTTTACTGCGTTGTAAGATCAGATGCAAATCCAAGGGCTAAGATTACTTCTCACTTCTCATTTTAAGGGGCACTTCTCACCTGATCTTTATATATATATATATATATATATATATATATATATATATATATATATATATATATATATATATATATATATATATATATATATATATATATATATAGACAAATCTTCATGTCAGGCCGGTCTGATGGGATGCTCCGTCCGGCCGAGCCCATTTGGGCATCTTCCCGGTGGAATTTTTTGATGAAATTTTTTGAGCATGTTCCTCATCAAGTCTAGTTTGTTCATACCAAATTTCAGCTCAAAATTCGATCAGGAAGGCATTCAAATAATTTTTTGAAGTTGACTGCAGTTTTATATGTATATTTTGACGCAGTCAACTTCAAAAAATGATTAGAATGCCTTCCCGATCAAATTTTGAGCTGAAATTTGGTATGGACAAACTAGACTTGATGAGGAACATGCTCAAAAACATTTCATCAAAAAATTCCACCGGGAAGGTGCCCAAACGGGCTCGGCCGGACGGAGCATCCCGTCAGGCCAGCCTGACATGAAGACCTCTCTCTCTCTCTCTCTCTCTCTCTCTCTCTCTCTCTCTCTCTCTCTCTATATATATATATATATATATATATATATATATATATATATATATATATATAAAGTGCAGTAATATATAAAGTTTCAAGAATTTTCAAGTAATATATATAAAGCTTACTGCACATTCTGCGCATATATAAAGTGCAGTAAGTTTCAAGAATTTATTTGACTGCCTTCCCGGTCGAATTTTGAGCTGAAATTTGGTATGGACAAACAAGACTTGATGAGGAATATGCTCAAAAATTTTCATCGAAAACTTCCATCGGGAACCGCCTCAAACAGTGAAGTTCGGACGGCTGCTCCCGTCCCTCCGGCTGGACCTGAGCAGTCCTATATATATATATATATATATATATATATATATATATATATATATATATATATATATATATATATATATATATATATATATATATATATATATATATATATATATATATATATATATATATATATATAAGTTAGAAATGCATCTAATGTGATAAATGAATATGAACCTTGATTGTTGGATTTGACGATGTTGGACTAAAACAACTTCATGTTACACTAGCATTTTGATTAGACAATGTTGCACTAAAATACCTCAATGTTGCATTAGAATTTGATTTGATAATGTTATTAATGTTGCGCTTCATGTTGCATTAAGAAGATGTAACGCGACAATTTGTGAAGTTTTTATGAGAGCGTTACCGCACATAATTACATCTTTTAGTGCAGCTTGAAAATCTTTTACTGCAATAAGATTAAATCTCACAACAAAAAATGATTCACATTTCTCATATTAAGATTAGACTTCTTTCTATTAGAACGCGTCTTATATATTTGTGCGTTAAAGGAGATAGCTAATAAGTTGCATGGAAACATACATTTAGTATAGAAGCAGCAGGAGGTTCAGGCAATGGGCAATAAATAGGATTATCATTGTTGTTGTCAGCAAACGGCTCACTCGGATGTTCGGCTGGCTTGAATCCGATTTCAACCTCAATAATGCCATGATGGGTGCATCCATCGCCCGCCAAAACAGCAGTAGAGGCAGTGCCAACAACTGTTCCCCCCTCCAACTTAGAGCCCAATTCATCTCTATTATCCTGCATCATCACCATCAGTCATTCATGACTATTAATAGGTCAAAGAAGGTTGAATATCAATTGGAGTTGTTAAAATATATTTAATTAATAATTAACAATTAGTATTCTAATATTTGATCATGTAATTATAGTTATATTATTACTAATAGTGTTCATATAGTTCTACATGATTGAGTTAATGATAGACTGAATCTGTGTTTGAATCTATCTAGGACTAGAGTAGTAGAGTGTCTTCACTCTCTCCTTTGCCTCTTGGTAGTTAATAGTGTTCATATAGTTCTACATTATTGATTTAATGATAAACTGAATTTGTGTGAATCTGTCTTGGACTAGAGTGTTTTAACTCTCTCCTTTTACCCTTGGTAACTATTGTTGTCGATTTTCTTTGTCATTATTGTTGTGTATATTCCTTACACCTCGATGCCCGATTTGTCCAACTAGAGGAGAAGGTAATGGATGCTATTCAATCTTTACATGCTAGTCTTGAGAACATGCGTGAAGAGTTGGCCTTGTGCAAGAAGGCTGCGGCTAGTGGTGGGGCAACCATAAACCTCACCAACACGCCGAAGGTTGACTATCCGAAGCCGTCAAAGTTCCATGGGGTCCGAGATGCCAAAGAAGTCGAGAACTACTTGTGGCAAATGGAACAATATTTCGACAACCTTAACCTTGAGGACGAGACGGCGAAAATCAAGACGGCCACATCTTATTTGGTGGATACGGCAATGCTATGGTGGCGAAGGAGGCATGCGGATATAGAGCGGGGCGTTGCACGGGTTGACACGTGGGAAGACTTCAAGAGAGAGTTGAAGAGACATTTCTACCCGGAGAACGTCGTCTTTGAGGCCCGCAAGAAGCTAAGGGAGTTAAAGCAAAGAGGTACGATTCGTGACTACGTAAGAGACTTTACAACCCTTATGCTCCAAATCCCCAACTTGTCCCAAGAGGATCTACTTTTCTACTTCGTCGATGGGTTACAAAGTTGGGCTAAGCAAGAGGTGCAACGGCGGAGTGTCCAAACGGTGGACGAAGCCATTGCCGCCGCTGAATCCTTGACGGACTTCCAACACCATAGCTATGGGGAGGCATCCAAGAGAAAAGATAAGAACCCCGTCAAAGGTGGGGGAGACCGGCATGACAACGTGGGCAGGGAGAACTCACGGAAACCGTCCTTCAAGAGGGGGGACAAGAGCTTGGGACGTGAGGAATATGAGGCAAAGAAGAAGTCTTTTGTGCCGAGGGGTGGATGCTTCGTGTGCAAGGGACCGCATACCATGAAGGACTGTCCTAAGCTAGGTTCGTTGTCTGCCATAGTAGAGAGACAAGAAGCGGGTGGCCACCAGCTCAGCCGGGCTGCGTCAAGGGGAGGCGGCCTGGCAATGAGACGCGTTGACAATATTAAGCATGGCGATCCTCGGGCAGAGTCATCTCCCCTAGCACGAGGCCGTGCTAGAGTTTGAGTGGGGGAGAGTGTCACGGACCGTTGTTCGTGACCGTGTTAGGCTCAATGAATGGGACGGACCGTCTGGCTAGCTGGATGGGCGAGGCATGGGGGAGGCAATAGCGTCAAGGGGAGTTCTGCCTTAGACGCTAAGGTCTGGCCGAGTCGGGCATGTGGGGGCTTGACTATGAAGGAGACAGAGGCGGGTCTAAGGGCACAACTGGTCGGGAGCTATTGTCGCTCCCCTGATGAGCCCAAGGCAGGGCGAAACCAGTCCGGTCCGTATGAGAGCGAGGCTTGTCCGCGGGGTAAGGGACCCCGGGACGCCGCACGGGCGCTGTGGGCTGCGCCAGACTCTATGCCCGTGACAAGTGGTATCAGAGCGGGTCGTGCTTATATTGTCGCGTGGAATGGTGGGGTCCTCGTGAGGGAATGAACAAGGGAAAAAAGCCTCCTGTAGTTGTTAAAACTTTATTTGAGGCAGTCTGTAATAGTTGTAAGTTGATCTCATTTTCTTAATTATAATAAGTTGAACTCGTGTCTTATGAAGATGACCATGACATCTAATATCCAGCCTATTGCACCTAAGACGAGGATGTTAAGGAATTCACCTCAGAAATCAAGAAGAGCTCATAGACACATTTGAAAGACAAATCCATCATTAGTAATCTGACGGCTGAGTTAACTAATGTCAAATTTGAGTGGTCTATGTCATGAATGAATATTGCGATAAGATGGCTAATCTCGCATCGGGTTTAACCAAGATGAACATGCATGTTGATAATCCATGACTAGTCTACTTTTGTACTAAATTCCCTACCAGAAATAGAACTTTAGCCAACTTAGAAAGTTACTAAGGGGGGAGGCTACAAGATTAAAGAATGTCAAGGATCACACTGCCCATCTTGTCATGATGGACGAAACGTCCATAAGATCAAGTCAAGCAAGAAATCATTTCATCATTTTCATTTACTCCAGTGCCGCAAAGACTCCCACCTACGGTGAGGTAAGGGGGAGGGTCGGATGTACGCAGTCTTACCCCTGTACTAAAACACAAAGAGACTGTTTCCGGATGACCCATAAAGAAAATCGCGTCCAAAATTGCATGGACTAATTGGTGCTTCATAACAAAGAAGCGCAGACAGTTTAGTGAGTCATTTTGTTTTATTCCATCATATTCTCAAGCCAAAAAATAATGAATCTTTGGCTCAATTGCAAATGATGGAAAATCAAGTCAAGCAAGAAAGGAAAGAAAAAATGGAAATCTTTCACGAAGGTTGAGGCAAAGAAAATCACCAAAAAGGTTACATGTTACTTCTCTAGGAAATAGGACATGTTAAGAATGATTGTCCGAAAAGGAAAGTTGGATTCGAAAAGAAAGGTACACATTTTGGTTTTGTGTGATTCAAATCAAATCCTATAGAAGTACCTAACAACACTTGGTTATTAGATTCTGGTGTTTCTACTCATGTTTCTTGTGTTATGCAAGGCTTCAAGCCCATCCAGTTAATAAGGGGAACTAAATAATTTAGGAAAACTATCAAATAGGTCCTCGAACTTTCATAAAAAAGTCAATTATGTCCTTCTATAGGAGACTTTGTCCGGTCGTCGTGATTTGGGGCGGTTCCCGGTGGAATTTTTTGATGAAATTTTTTGAGCATCTTATTCATCGAGTCTAGTTTACTCATACCAAATTTCAGCTAAAAATTTAATTGGGAGCGTATTCAAATTAATTTGAGAACGCAAAAATGCGCAGTTATCTTCAAGAATTAATTTGAATGTGTTTCCGATTGAATTTTTAGCTGAAATTTGATATGAGTAAACTAAACTTGGTGAATAAGATGCTCAAAAAATTTCATCAAAAAATTCCACCGGGAACTGCCCCAAATCGCGACGGCCAGACAGAATCTCCTATAGAAGGACTTAATTGACCTTTTTATGAAAGTTCGAGGACCTATTTGACAGTTTTCCCTCTAAAGTATGAACGCTTGCCACACTTTTGTTTCATATGTGGACTCATGAACCATGTGGATCGAATGTGTGGATGGCGTTTTGAGTTTGCTATATATGGGAAACAAGATGAAAGCACACATCAAAGGCATAGGGAATCAACTAACATATCAGATCCATAAACAGAATTGTCTTTAAACAATGAAAACGTGTTCTCCCCAAACATGATATGAAATCGGGAAACATTCCACCTACTAATTGAAACAAGATATCTAGCACAATCATGTACATAATGACAGTTTTCGAGATCTAAAAAATAATCAATTTGTATTTAATGTTGAAAATAATATCGAATTAAGCGTAGTGCCCTAGATGAGGGTTCAGCTTTCTTGTGGCACTAACGTTTTAGACATATTTCTCAAAGATAGGTTAGTGGGGTTAGTTAAAAATGAAACCTAACATCAATTGGATTTTAGTGACTAGGACGTGTGTGTTGATTGCATTGGAAGAAAGGAAACCAAACAGAAAAATGAAATCATCTAGAGCTATCAAACGGGCCAAACCGATCCAACCCGACCCAACCTGTGAAGGGTTATGCTTTATGTGGGTTGGGTCAGGCTAACCCGTTTACTGACAGGCCAGAGTTTATTTAGCCCTAACCCAACCCACCTGACCTGTGGATTAAATGGGCGGTTAAATGGGCCGGCCTGCGGGTCAATGTAATAAAATATACATGACAATTTATTTAAATAAAACATACATGACAAATTCTTTATATATTTACATTGGTGAGTACTAATAAAGGAATGATAAAAAATCAAAATACTAAACACTCAATACTTGTTAGATTTAATCAAATAATACTTCCTCCGTTCTTAAATAAATGCAACAGTCAACATTTCACACTTGTCGAGACACAACTTTGACCATTAATATAAATGATTTTGTATTAGTAAAAAAATTTAAAAAATTAGATTATGAAAATTTACAATGAGACAAGTTTAACAATATTTTTTTCATAAAATAATATTATTACATTAATAAATAAAACGTAGTCAAAGTAGAACATGTGAATAGTGTAAAAGTCAAAGTGTTGCATTTATTTAAGACTTTCACAAACCATAGCTTTTTATTGGAAATTATTTATAATATAAAAATTATATGAAAATGTTCTTTGTTAAAAGTACTTTCATAAAAGTATAAAATTTATAACTTTCATAATATTATACTGATCAAAATCGTGGTTCAATTTTTTTGAAATGGCAAGTTTTTTGGGACGAAGGTAGTACTAAATATGTTGCCGTAATTATACCAAAATTTGAAAACTATAAGAGGATATCTAACAAAAATACTCATTGTATAAAAGTAAAGATCTACTTAAACCTTTTGACTGATTATTTGCAAATCATGACTATTAATTGTAAAAATTATGCTCAACTTTACATTAAATGTATTTTTGAGCAATTTATTTGTATAGTTATTATAGAAATAATAATTATTTTGCAAAAATCACAACCCTAATCCACCAATAAATGGGTTGAAAAAGCCCACGGGCTTCGCCCCCCACCAAACTCCCAAACTCCCAAGCCCCACCCACCTAGAACAAGCCCAACCCGAAAAAGTTTAAAAAAATTATTTGGGCCCGGTCAACCTATTTCTAAACCTGTAGCCCGCCACAAAAAGCCCCCAGTTCGGGCCTCTGGACCGGTCCCCGTTGACCGGTTCGGGTCAGGTCCCAACAATGTCGGGCCGGGTCCCGGGTCGGTTGACCCGACCCAGTCCACCACTAACATGAATAACTCAAAAAGGAGAGCTACAACTCTATGGAACTCAAGACTCTGTTCTTTTTTTTGCTATGAAACTCGGGACTCTCTTAATAACATTAAACCAACCAAAATGTAAATTACAGTAGAATAAGGCAAATGCTTATGTGGAATGCTTTCCACTTTTCCATTTGTGAATTTTTTACCATAAATCCATATGTTCATTAATGATAAGAAGTTAAAACATATAAAAATTGTGTTTAATATCTAGCCCTTTAAGACAAGATTTAATTTTTGTTTGAGAATATTCAACAGGGATGGAAACTGTGGCAATGATGAGTGAAATGCCTACGACATCTATGTATGTATAATGAATGAGGCTCACTTTATAGAATAAAAATACAAGCACAATAATCCCTATGGAATATTAACACAATTGTTTTACAATTGGAATAAAAAAACAACAAACACATCACTAGGCAACAACATTCTGGAGCAGGGACACAATTAAATTCGAAAGGGGGTGAACCCAAACACGATAAGAAGTATTAGCACTCGAAGCTTGGCGAGCCAACATGTCTACAACATTATTTCTATCCCGCGGGATGTGAACAATCAAAATACTCCACCCAAATGATCATGTCACGCATCTTGCATATAATATCACTTGCCCATAAGTATCTCACATCATCATCATTTTGAAAGAATTTACACAACATCGTTGCAGTCCGAGAAACAAACAATATCACAATACCCAAGATCCCATCCATGTTGCAGGCCAAGTTCAATAGCCAACAGCTCTGCCATAAAAGCCGACCTAACACCATGCTCGGAACTCCGGAAATCCAACTGTCGATAGCATCCTTAATGATTGCACCACACCTCCTCCTTGAAACTCCCTAGTTCCATCTGCCATCCACAAAAATATGGATCATGTTTGTCGGATGTTGTTACTCGGGACCAACTGTTGAGATGGGCAAAGCGAGCTCTTCAACCAACGTTGTCAAGTGTTTACGTCCATCAAAATCTGCCTCAGGACATAGTTCATATGCCATGCTCTATTAGTGAAAATACTTATTCCTCAAACGCCAAGCTCACCACATTACAGAAACCGCAAGGACATGCTCCCTCCGAGAATAATCTTTCTAAACCAAAGATGAAAAGATTCATGCAGAGATAATGAAGGATGGGTTCAAAGTGACGCCAAAGGTATTGAGAGTCAGTGCAACCCCGAAAAACATGATACACAATTTCATACTTTGCCCCACATCTAGAACAAGCCGTTGAGAAACATAACGGGTTGTAATGTCGTTTACTATTTGTCGGAAGAGCCTCCTTCGTAATTAACCAAAGGAAGAATCTGATTTTCGTAGGCACCATACTCCTCCAAACATGTTTTCAGCAAGGGTGATGATATGTCGTGTATACCCTGCTAGCATCGCATAGGTCGACTTTATAGAATATGAGCCGTTATCTGTCTCTCTCCATTGGACAACATCATGGCCAACATGATTTAATGGAACCCGTACCTAATGAATTTTGGGTTTAGTCTTAGTTGACAGGGATGTAGACAACTTGTGAAACACCAAGTTTGGTGTTGCCAATTTTAGCAACACCAAACTTGGTGTTAGCGAAAATCTGAAATATGGAAAAAGGGGACCCGATCACGGGTTTTCCTAGTGCCAAGCAAAATGTCATACCAAAAGGATGATTCGCCATTACCAAATTGTTCCCCAAAGTCATGCACAAATAGTGCCCCAAAGTCATGCAAATTGTCTCCCACGATGCCCAATGGTGCTTTTGTTTCTCTCCTTGATTGCGCCAAAAGAAAGCAGCCATTTTCCTTTCTAGAATTTTAATGATTTTTCTAGGGAGTGGAGTGACTGCCAAATGATGCAATGGGATAGCTGATAACACATGTTTGATAAGACTCAGTCTGCCACTTTGATTTAATAATTTTTTTCTCCAAGAACTCGGTTTTGACTTGAAGATCTCCACAAGTTGTTGACACTGATGAACACGAGTTATGCCTTGGTGAATGGAAGCCCCCAGATACTTAAAAGGCAACATTGTGGATTTCATGAACACAATTTTTCACATATTCTTCCTTCTGCCGAAATTAACTTTTCCCCACAATAGATGCACTTTTCTTGAAGTTAACTTTTTGACCAAAAGCTTGCTCATATGTATGCAGGAAGTTGATATATGTATGTGTTGACTTAGAGGATCCATTGATGAAAATGAGCAAGTCATCTGCAAAGGCTAGATGAGAAACAATGGGAGTGTTCGTGGCAACTTAGTATGCTCCTATTTTTCCTTCTGCAATTAATTTTTGCAGCCCTCTTGAAAAACATTCAGACACCAAGATGAAAAGTAAAGAGATAAAGGATCCCCTTGTTTAACACCCCTGAGAGGTTTAAAAAACTCAAAGTTCTGACCATTTACCATAACAGAAAGGTGAGTATCCCGTAGGTTCTGAACAATTAGGTGCATGTGCATCACCTGTGAGTCAAAGCCATATTGCTTAAGTACTGCCTCTAGAAAATGCCATGAGATTTTGTCAAAGGCCTTTGTCATGTCTAGTTTCATAGCTATATTATTACCCCTCACCTTTTTATCCAAAGCATGAATGAGTTCTTCAGCTAGAAGGATGTGCTGGTGGATATCGTTTCCTGGAAGAAAACCTATTTGTTCTGGTGAGATGAGCTTGGGCATTATAACCTTGAACCTGTTAGTCAAAATTTGAGTGCAAATTTTATTGATAAAATTTGACAAACAGATTGGTCTGAATTGACTAAAATTCTGAGGATTCTGAGTTTTTGGTATTAGCACTAATTGAGAGGAGGTTAAGGCAGTGGACATAGGAAACCCAAGAAAAAATTCTTTAATGGCTGAACAAACATCTTGCTTAATAATATCCCAAGATGTTCTGTGAAAATTCCCAGAATACCCATCAGGACCATCTGGGCTGTCTTTATCCAACTGCCAAATAGCATCCTTGATTTCTTGATCTAATGGTATAACTTTGATGTTGTTGTTATCTCCAGGTGTGACAATAGGAGTTATGAACTACAGCATGTGTTGAGAGAAAGATGGATCTGAACCTTCATCAGAATATAAGTCTTGGAAGAAATCAACAACAGCCTTCCCTATTGATTCCTGATCCATACAAGGATGATTGTTCAGGTTCTTAATATAACATATATTTTGATGCCTTCTCTTCTCATTTACATACTTGTGAAAAAACTTTGCATTAGCATCTCCCTCCCTAAGCCATTTAACTCTTGCTCTCTGTCCCCAATAATCTTCCTCTTGTTTAATATTTAGTTGTAAAGAGGCTAGGGCATGTGACCAGGTTGCTCTATTTTGCACAGAAGGATCAGAGATGTAGTTCTCTTCTGCTGTCTGCACGCCCTTTTTCCATCCGGACAACATCAGTAAATACAGAGTATATTACTAAAGGTGTATTTATTCCAGTCTTTCAAATCATTTTTGAGCTTCCTCAGTTTTTTATATAACCCTCACATTCCATTGTAGTTGGGAGAGCAGCACCAGGTATCGTGGACCATTTCCTGAAAGTTGGATGCGATGTCCACATGCTCACAAAAGTGCCGGCTGTACATGTCCTTCGTACAGCGGAACCATATAATTTACCCTATTAAACCCATCTTTATATAGCGCTGTTCTGAAAATCCACCAGCCTTTTTAGTTGGGTCTTCCTCCCACTTAATCCCAATGTTTAGTTCTTCCACCCAGCAGCGACAGATAAACCACTCTCCTTCGTAGATGCTACCTAGGCCTCCTCCTTAGACTACTTTTCATTGTTCTATTTCCTATTCTGTCCCTGCCTACTAACCCAACAATCTCAAATTAATTAGGAGCTAGCTCCGCTAGGCCTGCATCAGAAACCCCTTTTTTCTATGGGTAAAATGCAAGCTTTGTTGTACATATTTCTATCAGACCTCATTTTTTCAGTGAAAGCCAGAATTGATTTTTTTTTTGCGCTGGCTCTGCCAAACGATAGATTAGTCCCATTCCACTCAATTACAATCAGAAAAATTACAGACACGCATCAATAGCTTTCATAGCCACGAAAGTAGTCAAATCTATTCTAAATTGTCTCAGTTTAACAACACTTAAATGCAGAAATACGAGTTCTTTTAGGATCGGAGAACATACGGTTATATTACAAAGAAAAGAAGATTTACGTACACCAAATCGAATCCAAAAATTGCAGACCAGGAGAGAGAGAAAAACTTACAAGTGCACTTTGAGCTCTTCTATGCCCACCCTTGATGACGGAGAGTCTTGAAAATATACCCAACATATTAAGCTGATGAAGACTACAACAGGAAAATAGAGAGAACACACGTATTCAATATTGCGTTTGATCTGCTCCTTTGCCTCTCTACTTCTGTCATACGCTTCCGCTCACCGATACGCCAAACTTTGAATTGGTATATCAATTAGGGGTGGGCATAAAACCTGAACCGTCCCGTAATGGTACCGAACCGAATATCGGGTATTTAAATGGTTCTATAGATTTTTGTCCCGTACCAAAACTGTATCGTTTGAAACGGGTATGGGACCAGTCCTAGTTTTTTAGAACCGAAATATACCGGACCGAACCGTTCAAAAATAATTCATTTGAATTATATATATATTTTCTATACCAATAGATCTCTTTTATAGACCACCAATTTTATAGCCCAAGTATGTATTTATGCGTCCCTAAAATAGCTAAATGTGTGTGTATATATATATATATTGTTATTTTTTCTTTTTAGATAATTTATGTTATATTTAGTATGTGTTGATCGAAAGAATATTAGAATTTTAAAAATCATTCATGACTACTCCCTTCGTCCCCTTTTAAATGTCCCGTTTTACTATATTGGGATGTCTCTATTTAATTGTCTCATACCCTATTTGGTAAAGTTTGTGTGGCTTAAAATCATTCTTACTTTGTTCTTACTTTATTCTTACTTTCTCAATTAATATCAATCACGCAAACCCACTTTTCTTAAAACTCGTGTCACCCTCTTCCGGGACATTTAAAAGGGGACGGAGGGAGTATTCATTTCTAGTAATGTTGTGTACATGACTTTTTGTTGTATCATGTTTGTGCAATTTTACAACTTAATTAATATAGCTTAAATCTTAGCTCTCAAGGTTTAACTATAAATTAAATAAGAACTACGGAGTAACATAGAACGAAGAAGAAGAACGTTGAAGATTTCTAATATATTATATTCTTTTTATATTTTCACATGAACTTAGTAAATTAAAGATGATATTTATCTTGTGCGTCATCATTTTGCTATACTTTTTCTTAGATGTGTTGCACTATTTGTGTAGTTGTGAGTTTTAGTACTACGTATGCAATTTCTTGTATTTATATCAACATTTCATGTGAGTTGGTTGGTGTGATGATATATACTAATTGTAAGATTTATTCAAAAAATTTAGCATGTGTTTGGCATTGTACCGTACCGTTTTGTACCGTTCCGAAGCGAAATGGTACCGAACGGTTCCATCCTTGGAACCGGACCGTACCGGACCGTTAAAAATCTCACAGATACATTACGGGTTTTACCAATTTACCGGACCGTTCCGGACCGCACCCACCCCTAATATCAACAATTCAGGGCACACGCTTAATTTGAGGTTGCACCCATATTATAGTATAAATTGAACTTTGCACCTCATTTTAAAAAATCTTGGTTTTTGCCCCAACCTCGTATAAAAAGATAAAAATGTCCTTAATCAGGAATATGAAGGTCAACAGAATTGTTAATGGAGAGGCATTTTAGTCTTTTCATACGGGGTTGGGTGCGCAAAAACACAGATTTTTAAAAATGGGGTGCAAAGTCCAATTTAGACAATAATATGGGGTGCAAACTCAAATTGCCTCTTTTTACTTTTTGATAGTTTTCGGTCTCATATCAGATTAGACTTACACAGATCAAACCAGACCAGACTTAAACAAATCATATCAGACCAGACTTTCATAATTATACGTAGTATAAATAATACACGGAAATCATACATTTAGTAGATCAGTTCAAACCAGACCAGACTAAGGCTATGTTTGGCAGGCATAAGTCCCTACCTTCTAGCTTTTGTATTATTGAAAAAGTCTCTAAAAGTTCCAAGTTGTATGTTTGGTATGATACTTTTAAGAGCTTTTCAAAAAATAAAAAGATCTTTTTTGAGATACTACAGGGAGTAGCATCTGAAAAAAGTCTATAGCTTCTAGCATTAATTAGTCCCAACAACTTCTATATCAAACAAAACTAAATCAAACAGTCAGCTTTTTACCAAACAGCTACTACCTTTTACTTTTAAGATCTTTTCAGTCACTAAAAGATAACAGTTACTAAAAAGTTCGTAAAAGTGTCTTTTCAGCTAGTTGTGCCAAACATACCTTAAACTTAAACAAATTACAATCGAAGTAAAAAGATCCTAAGACTAGGTTGTGCTCTTCAATTATTTAAGTATTTCAATTATTCAAGTAAAAGAAATAATTCTAAATACATAGAGGGGTGTATTGTATTAGGCAAATCACTCATCAGTGGGGGCAAATCCGGGGAACATTTGTCATATTTTATTGAAATAAAAATAAGAATAAAAAGTGAGGATGACTAGACCAAAACCTCTTCTTAGAGACATAAATCTAAAAATACATCAATAACAATGGCCAAGATTAATCCATGCACATATAAATGTGTATAGATTGTAAAAGTTTAGGTCTATTCAATGTAGTTTTTTTTTCAATTCTTTCTAACCTATAATAGTATCTGCTCTATGTAAAGGTCAACATCCTTGAACTGGGATGAGATTCGAACAAGTGACCTCCTCCTTGGGAGTGTCACAGTGATGTCATTAGACCACGTGATACTTGGCCCATGTAGATTTTTAAAAATCTAAAAAGTTTAAGTGAATTCAATCTAGAGCTTTAAAAATCTAAAAAAGTCTAAGCATATTCAAACTTCCATTCATCCTTATGGGCATTTAAACTCATTGATTATCATGGACTTTTAACTCATTTTTAGGACATTAACTCTATGCAATTTTCTCTTCTCCTCATCAAAGATTTCTGTGGACTTTTCTTTCGTCATCTACTCGTCACAAGTGCGCATTGATCCGGTTCATGAATCAGACTAGATTTGACTAATTATTTTGCACAGAATCACAAACCGTCCAACTGGTCATGGACTAGTACAGGGTCGCGGATTGGAAGGTGGGTATCAAGGCAGTCTTGATGATAAATTCTTATTTTTATTAATTTATGATAAATAAAATTGAACAAAAAAAATCTACATCAATACTCATAAACAAGATAAACTTAAAAAAAATGAGTTTTTTATATTATCTTATGAAGAAAAATGTAGAGATGGGATCAGTTCAATTCTTCGAAAAATTAGGGATCATTTAAAGATCCGTTAATGAAATATTGATTCGGTTCTAGAATTCTTTGAAAACCGTTACAAGAATCGATAGTATCTTATTGGTGGACTTTTTATATGTTGTCAATTAAACGTTAAGAAATAAAAATATATTTAACAATTAATATGTTTCATTGTTACACCGCTAACATAAAAACATAATATTGAACAAATTTTAACAAGATAAAATGAAAAGAAAACAAATATTAAGAAGAAAAGTTCAATTGCACCTATGCTCATATCACATAAAAAGTTCATTGTTTTTCAAATGGACGTGAAAACAACATTTTAAAATGGAGTTTTAAAAGAAGAAGTCTATGTCTCTCAGTATGGTGGTTTCATTGATCCTGAGCATCCTAATCGCGTCTATAAGTTGAACAAACCCTTATACGGTCTGAAGCAAATTCCAAGGGCTTGTTATGAAGCTTTGTCCGACTTCTTGGTTTCTCCAAGGGAAACATTGACACCACCCTCTTCATCAAAAGGCATAAGTCTGATATCATGCTTATTTAGATCTATGTCGATGATATCATTTTTGCCTCATCACATCCAAGTTTTGGCAAAAAAAAAAACGACAATCTAATCCGCACCAAGTACGAGATAAGTATGATGGGCGAGTTAAACTTCTTTCTTGGGTTGAAAATGAGACAATGGTCATATGAAGTCTTCATCAATCAATCCAAATACATTTATAAAAGTCTAAAAAGAAAGCTTTTCGCGCCAAAACAGGAAAATCCTTAACAGAATAAAAAATGTTGAGATGGGTTGGATAAGAAAATGCACATAGATGATGGTGATTTCCTCTTCAACGTTGCCGCCGGATCCAGCCGGACAATGCTTGGTTGGGAAAATTTTTTGCAGATGTTGTTAATAGATCTAATGGTACATTGTCGATCAAATCCCCGTCTAGGTTTAAAGGTATGCCGTCCATCAGCTTCCCTGAAAGCAATATTCAAATTCTGGTAGAGAGATGCAAACGCTCGCTCATAGGTTATTTCTATCGGGGCAGACCTCGTTTGGATATCATTAGGAATGCCTTTGAGATTATCGGTTTCAAAGGTCCTTTTCATCCAGGTGTATTGGAGAGAAAACATGTTCCTATGTGTTTTGATTCTGAGGAGGATTACTTTAGATGCTGGAATAGACAAAGTTGGAATATTCGTGGTTACGAAATGAGGGTGACGAAGTGGACTCCGGACTTTTGTCCTAATGTGGAGTTGCCAGTGGTCCCGGTCTGGGTTTCTTTAGAAGGCTTGCCTTTGCATCTTCAAGACAAACGTGCATTGTTTGATATTGCGGGGTTATTTGACAAACCCTTGAAATTGATGTTGCTGCAACTAATTTATCCAGGCCATCACTGACCTGGTTTTGTGTTGAGCTTGATCTCACACAGGAGATGCCTCAGCGGGTTTGGATAAATTGTGGGGAATATGGCTTTTCTCAGCCTGTGATTTATGAACAGCACCCTGAATATTCCTCACATTGTCTTCACTTAGGCCATTCATTTACTAAATGTCCTAAACGTCAACTAGAGGTTCCTAAGCACCAACCAGAGGTCCCTAAACATCCGCCTAAGGACAAATGGATTGAGAAAAAGAAATTATTACAACTAATTTGTTATCTAAGAATGTTAATTCAACTTTGGGTCCATACAACCAATTGCCTAATGATTGTGGATCAGCCATCTTCTTCAAGACAACATCCTCCTACAGTTTCTTTGGAGGATGATACCGACACAGAAGAGGTATTCCATGAGGAACCTCATAGCAAGGTACATCACACATCCAGGAGAAATGAACCGGGTGCTCTTGATCCTGAATCTTTTGACATGAAGGAATTAGGTACATCAACTTTGCCTCTTACAGCACTCTCAAGTTTGATTTCGCTTGAGAGCTGCAGTTGACAGCAGGCAGGGAATAGTTTAGACACCAACTAGCTGATAGATGCAAGTGTTCGATTCATCAAAACCAGATGACTCTTTTGTGTGTACTTTCTTTTGTTTTTCATTTCTTTTTAATACGTCTTTCACTTATTTTCTTTTCTCTTTTTAGTACTTTACTTTTTTATCTTTTCATTTTTTGAGTGCTCAAAGTCCAATACAGACACATCATCAAAATCTAATCCAGGGGGACCTAATAGCAGTATCTCTTCCAACGTAGCAAACCAAACCGATGCAAAGAAAACTCAATTGAACCGAACCGGAATATAGTAGGGGTGGACAGAATGGTTTGGTTTAACCGAACCGTACCAAACCAAAATAAACCGAAACCGGACAGTATGCAATTCGGTTTGAGTTTGGTACTATTTCTTCCAAACCGTATGAAACCGAACCAAAACCGATAAAAACAAAATAAAACCGAACCGAACTAAAGAATTAAAGAAATTCAAAAAACCTTCATATATTATTAAAAAGTAACAAATCCAAACCGAACCGAGCCGAGCCAAACCAAATCGAATCAAATCGAAAATAGTATAGTTTTTGTTTGGTAATAATTCTTCCAACCCGTTCCAAACCAAACCGAAAACCGATATGCCTAGCACTAGAATATAGTATGATTTTTCTTGGTAGTCGTTTTTCCAATTCCTTTCAAAACAAACTGAAAACCGATAAAAACCAACCTGAAACTAATATGTCCACCCCTAGTTTCAATATCCTCTCCTTAAGATAACAAAGTATCTCCTGCTTCTTCCGACCTATAAGAGAATGGCATCCAAAATACTTCCCTGTGAGAACTTACTTATTCACACTCAAAACAGAGCTTAACAAAAACAAATCACGTGAATTCTCATCCACATTAGAGTTGAATGATCCATAATACTTTTCATAGTTTACCATTTGACCCGAACTTGCTTAAGCTAATTCTTCACCACTTTGCATTCTTTCCTATTTGCCTTGAAGAAATAAAAACAATCATCAGTGAACAAGAGATGTGTAATGTGTTATTTGTGGTCTGCCTTAGCCATAGGCCCATAGGCCATAGCCACACCATGTAATTCCCTCATCGCCTCTTGTTTAACCCCTCTAATGCAGGAATAAAGAGGTACGGCAATAAGTGAACTCCCAGTCTCAACCCTCATTTAGCACTAATAAGGTCCAAAATTGACCTCTCAAAAGGAATTTGCTCTAACCACCTTTGCCCATCTAGCTGCAAAACCCATCTTGAGCATAATAGATTGTAAAATTCCACTACGCTCTATCATAAGCTTTATTCATGCAAGCTTTGATGCAATAAAACCTTCTTTGGCATGTCTATTCCTCTTCAAGAAATGTAGTGTTTCAAAAGCAATCATCCTTGTTTTAGATGTTACAAAATATTACTATGATTTTCAAAAATTATAACATCTAAAACACCTTTCATACGGTCAGCTACCAATTTAGTAAAACATTACATAGTGCTATGGGACAACAATCCCGAATCCCCTAACACTTCCGGTTACTCCTTTTATTCGGTAAGAGGACTAAATTAGGGTTAACAAACATATACTTCACACATGTGTGCATAATGACAAAAAAATCAGAGTATTACTGCACAAATACAGTTCTCAATGACAATTTATTTTCCACCATTCAAAACAAACTTCATTGCAACATAAGGTGTAAAAAGGATCTCTATTTTATTACACAGAAATCAACTACAATGTCCAAGACCCGAAGAACAAGTACAATTTGAGTCTACAGCAAACATTACCTCATAAACATCAAACCCCAAACCAAATGAGCAGTCCTTTGTGGTTATAGAACGTATGGGTGCATAAATATGATTTCGGAGACAAAACAACCCAAGCATGTTTAACAATGATGTTTTGATGACACGGAGTAGTGCCATCTAGCTAGGCAAGGTAAAATCCAAAACCATAACAAGGTTAATATCTTCAGAAAGGTGGAATGATAGATTCTATAAGATCTTGGAGTGGAGCAAGCTCCTTCTTGTCAATAAGCCCAAACTCCTGCAAAATTCAAATAACTCATTAATACAAATAAATGGTGAAACATTTTATTTTACACATAAGAGTAAAAATTGATCAAACCTTTTTTCCTTCAACAAGAACACAAAATATTTCAATATCTAATGACATCTAAAACATGCTAAAATAGGGAGCGGGGGGAGGGGAGGAAAGTATTTGAGAAAAGTGAAAGGTAGTAAAAAAAGAGATGAGTTTCGGGTTCAAAGATTGAGGGAACTCACATGAGTAAAAAGTATGAAATGCTTGAAGCAAGTATTTAGATGGGCCTCTTCCTTGAGACTCACAATCTTCTGAAAATGAGTGTGATAGATATGAGCATATACACGAAACAGCCGCTTAAATATCGTCTTCACAACATCCTTGAAGTTGGCGGGAAATGGTGCACCTAAATGTATTATAGGAATCAATAACTAAATAAACATTCAATTCTCTTGATAGTAACAAAATGGGTGAAAATAAAATCAGTGTACTATAAGGCCTGTAACTAAATATCAAAAGACGAATAAAAACTACCGAGCTTTTGAGGGAAAATTGATTCGTCATCCAACTGGCCCTCAATCCAATCCATCAAATACTCAACATACTTTGGTGCTGAAACTTCAATAGGTTTCTTGATCTGCACGCCATCTGCCCACCTATACTCATACCTGATCTCATCCACAAAAAGTCAGATGATATTGTCTCTCGACTTAATATTACCTAAGTTTCCCACAATGCCCAACCACGTTAATTTTCAAAACTTCCAACATGATATGTTAACAATAAAATAAAGGTATTTATCTGGCTGGTCCAAAGAAATATACAAGGGAAGCTGGAGCATAGTTATATATAACTACAGAAAAAATTGAACCATAACTTGTCATTACATAATGTTAAATCAATGATGACAAAACCACAATTGAAAAAAATGCATTAGTGCTTCACTTAAACCACATCACTGGATGAACTTCATGATACAATTGAAAAAAATGCATTAGGCTTACTGAGGAGTAATTATTGAAAGGGAACAGTTCCGGAAATCAAACAACCTACTAACGACTACTCTGATACAAATACTGAGATCATCGAAACTATAAGGCTATGTTTGGGTTTAGGATACTGCTGGGGGTTCCTATGAGAAGTTATTCTCTTCTGTTTGGTTTTCCCTTGGAAAATGAAAAGGGGGATGGAGTATTATTAGTTTTTTTTTAATTGTATATATTTGCATTTCCTGCTCCTATGAAATAGAAATAATTTGTTGAGTTTGAACTTAAGTTTTATCCCACACATTTTCTTTCATCCAAAAATTCCCCCCATATTTTCCTCTCTATTTAGTTCCTATCACTTTCCGATTTCTAAACTGACCATTATAAAACCCAAGAACTATTTGATTCTTTATTGCAAAGAAATCCCCCACAATAGTAACAGATCTAACATACTTAGGGCCAGCTGTCATTGTAGGGCAGTTCTCAGGTGTGCAAAACTCTGTCAGTGTCCCATAGAGCAGATTAACCTGGTTGAAGAAATCCACCGCTGAAAAAAATAACCTTCATTCAGCTAACAAAGTATAAGAATAATAGTACAGAATAGAAATAGGGGAAGACTTGAAATGAATTTTAGTGCCTGTCTAAGTAGCATGCAAACGCAAAGTGGGGCACATGAAACGGGAAACAGGATTAACATATATATATAGGGTGCGGTTCCAGTGAGAACGATGCTTAACGTGAGAACACTCACATTTAAATCAATGTGGTGCACAATTGAGCTATTGTGTTGCACATTTTCAATTTACTCGAATTAAGCCTATATTAACTAAACACGGTGGCATTTTGGTAAATACTGTGAAAATGTGAAAACGTGCAACATACAAGCTTCATTGTGCAACACGTTGGGGAAAAAGTGGTGTTCTCACGTTAAGCAATGTTCTCATTTGATCTTTATTCTATGTGTGTGTATATATATATATATATATATATATATATATATATTTCCTTTCATATAGATTAACATGTTTTTTCATAGACCTTTGTTTAGTAACCAATCACTAATATGGATTATGGACATATGGTCTATGACTCTATTGTTCAAATTTAGAAATTATTACACATTACTAGTAGTATATTTTTTCATTTTTATTGAATGAAAAAATATACTACTAGTAATATGTAATAATTTCTAAATTTGAACAATATAATTGAACAAAAATGTAATACATTTCTAGCAATGTGTTGCGCTATGAGACATCACAATGTTGCTAGAATCCACTAAAGCTTTGTTTGCAACTGCTTCTAAGAAGCACTTTTGGGCTTTTTGGCAGCAGAAGTTAAAATGGGTGTTTGCAAAACACCACATCACCGTTTGGTTTATTCGAAAAGCTGGAAGCTCCTTTTTGTAAAGGTTGGTAATTTGGTAATTCTGAAAAACTAGAGGGGCATTTATATCGTTAATGTGTGTTGGTGTACCATTACTGCCCTTCTCCCTTTCCTTATACAACACTCGTATATGTATCAGGCAGATCTTCCCTATCGACGAATCAAGCTCTCCCCAACCCTACAACACTTTCTCTGTCCATCTGCGCTGCAGCTAATGAAGTTGGGAAGCCACCGAACTGAAGTTGAAGATCCATAGTTGTTGATTTGCTCAATTCAAGGTTAGTATGAAATGGAATTTTTGTTTTTGAATCCGTTCATTCTTGTGCTTGACAAATTCGCTCGTTATTTCTTTGATCGGTAGCTGTTCGGTTTAATTTTCTGTTCCAAATTCCAATCCCTTAATTGATTCGCTCTTTGTTCTACAGGTAGCTCTGCGTGGAAGGAATGGAGATGAAAAGAAATACGTGGAAGTGATAAAGGTTTAATGAAAGAGGGGCATTTTTGTACATGAATAAACAACTTCATCAATAATCACTTTTTTACCAAACACTCCAATTTCAACACCTTTTTGTAAAATCACTTATTTTCCAAACACTATCAACTTTTACAATTAATCACTTCTCCCCATTTCATTAAAAAAAGCACTTTTTTTAAAAGCAGAAGCTGTTGCAAACAGATCCTAAAAACTTTAAAAACAAATACTATTTTTCATTTAAAAAAATCCCATCAACAATGGAAAAATGGTAACTCAAAGTTTCTCAAAATGCTAATTTAATGGGGAAATGGTTTCCCAATCTATTTTATTATTGAAACGGCCTTGAAACACAAACTTGATGTTTCCAAATTTCCGACAAGCTTATAAGTCTCCAAAACAGGGAAATATGAGTCGTGGGAAGTTTCCGTGCTTCTTAGGTGCCTTTTAGTAATAATTATTTGGCTTGAATCTGCTAGATTTTTGGACAGGAAAACGATTTGGTGTAATTGACATAAGCTAATCAAGCATTTTGGGGCATTAATCTTCATATTATGTGAATAGAACACAACAACAGGAAGCCAAATACACACAGCTTATCCATGGAAGAATTGATCATCCATTTGTGGAACCTTCATTTACAATGTTGGTTAATACATGCCAAATCAAAATTTGAAAAAGTATATTTTCCCCTACACCACTCCCGCGCTTTTTTTTTCAACATGAGTTGTGAATTCTACTTGAACAAATACAAGTTATGCAGTTATGTGTATGGAAAATTAAACCACTTAAACAAATAAAAAAGGATGATAAAGGAAGGGCAGTTGATCATGTATGTAACAACGCAAGAGATGGAAAGAGTAAGCATACTATTGACAGCAAGCCACTCATTAATGTCCTCTCCAGGGGGGAGCCTTACAGCTTCTCTTAAGTTTCCACTTCCTAAAGTTGCATCAATGTGCTTTCTTAATTGTGCTCCCTGCGATAGTGGCAAAAAATTATATTAATACATACATATATATATATATATATAGAGGGCAGTTCACATCAGGAGTTCCTGATGAGAAGCCCCGTGCGGACAAGACCATCAGAGGGTCTTCCCGGTGGAATTTTTTGATGAAATTTTTTGAGCATGTTCTTCATCAAGTCTAGTTTGTCCATACCAAATTTCAGCTCAAAATTCGATCGGGAAGGCAGTCAAATAAATCCTGGAAAACTATGGCTCATTCTGCGCACATATAAAGTGCAGTATGTTTCCAGGATTTATTTGACTGCCTTCCCGATCGAATTTTGAGCTGAAATTTGGTATGGACAAACTAGACTTGATGAGGAACATGCTCAAAAAATTCCACCGGGAAGACCCTCTGATGGGCTTGTCCGCACGGGGCTTCTCTTCAGGAGCTCCTGATAGGAACGGGACTCTATATATATATATATATATATATATATATATATATGTATATATATATATAATATATATAAAGAATTAAAGATGGCTCAACTTTGAACCTATTAGACTGTGAAGTTTCAATTGTTCAAGGGAACAGACTTGTTATATAAAAATTTCATCAAACGGGCATCCCCTACATTTACCCCAATCTCTTCACTCCAATTCTCTTTCCCATCATTTCCCACGCGCATAAGCCCCTACCCACCTCACCTTCAGAATTTTAATTTCATCATGAGGAAACTAAACACAGTGGAACAGTAATTTCCCAAATGTGCATAAAGGGGAAAACAAAATTATGCAAATTAAACAAACCTTACTCCCTGAAGGGGCACTTTTTTTAGGGCGGAATGTTCTCTGGTTCCTGAACAGATATAGCAGGTTAGGCATTAAAAATGAACCAAGAAAGAGTAATTTAATAAAGTAAACAAATCATAATTAAGTGGCACAATTGAGCCACTCTGGTCATAATAAATTCCACCATATTCTCTAGGAACATGTTAAGCCCATACAAAGAACATATAAACTCAGAAAATATATAAACCACACATGCATGGGACACGCATAAAAGCCCGACAATCAACATAGCACTATATCCCTTAACACACAGAGCAAGTGATGATCTTTGCAGTTGAATGGATTCATTTTGATTGGGCACACAACTAATATGGGCTTCCCCACATCTCAAATTTTAAATCCATCAGATCCATATTCGTTTAACACTAAAGGTTCAAGTTTCCAGATCCAAATCTGTAGATTCCCGTAACAATAACTTAATTAAATTCAGTAGCATATGTCTGGGAAGAGAACCAAACCCAAGAATCAATCATATATCAATATATCAATCGATAAACATTTCACGACTCATAATTAGTTGGCATCAGCACAAGACATCATAAAAAATTAAACATTTAATTTTGGAATATTAATCGGGTTTACCTTCCAATCCCAAAGAGACTCATGGTTTGAGACTGAGAGAGAGGATACCAACGACTGGGCCTTGATGTCGGGGATGATAGTAGATGGGTGAAAACGAGGGAATCATCAAGGAGAGAGATGGGAATAAAGCGGGCAACGGAGAAAGAGCTGCCCTGGGAGCGTAGAGGCCTTGTACAATGGTACTCATGATTCGCGGGCAGGAGGTGTTTGGGAAAATTCTTGATTAGACTGCTAGGGAGTATGTTTTTACGAAAATGCTATGTGTACATGGTTTGTACACAACTTGTACAACAACTTGTACATGCTATAAATATCCCATAATTTTTACCATTTCATTTTTTGCTTTTTACCCTCTTTCTCTCTCCCTTCTCTCCTTCTCCTATTTCTTCTCTACGCCCTGCCCGTAGCTTTTCTCCAACAACCCACTTTCTCCTTTCTTTCTTCTTCATTTTCATTTCAATCCTTCTCCACATATAATTGTCATAAGCAATTTCATTTGTCACTAAGGTGTTCACGAATGAAGATGGAGCGCCGCAGACCTAGAAGTCATCGCTGCTTGGAGCTGCCGCCGCCCGGATGCTGCCACGGCCCAGAAAATTATAGGGCCGACCACCCGCTAGCGTTTCCGGCATGGAGGATCGATTTACGACTTGGTGAATTGCTGCCAACCCACCGCCACCGTGGTATTCATTTCCCCTTCATCTTCCTTCAATCCAACCTCCTTAACCCTAACTCATTAGATGCTAATTTGCCCCTTTTTGTTATTGTGGCTTAGGGTTTTAACTCTGTTTTTTTTTCTTTTAAATTTTATGTTTTATTGATATTTTAATGTTGTTTGTTTGACACTTTTGTTTCACTATATTATTTGAGAATATCATTCTTTTTGTTACACACCCTTTTAAGTTCTGAATTTCTTATTACAGGTGCTTTTGAGCTCTTATTCTTGTTAGTGGTTGTGCTTGAGTTGTTGTATTGGAATACATTGTAAACTTATTGTTGTTGTGTAACCAAATAATGATTTTCATATTTTCCATATGCTGATATCAGTATTAGGGTGCTAAAGTATTTTCTTTCTCTTAGTTCAAACATTTGTTTTTGGAGACTTAGTGTATTCTTTAATTATCAAAGTGATATTGTTTTTTTTATATACGATAGAAACATTTGATTTTGTTCTCAAGTTAAATGCCCATGTGGTAGTATCCTTTCCTGGATCCTAATGACCCTACAGTTATGCAACGTTCACCGAGCTACCCTTTTAGGGAGATTAAAAAGACAACAAAATTTAACTAGTTATGAAAAACCGTATTCTCCTTGACATAGTATTTGTATAGAAACATGGCCATTCTATAATCAGACAGGCTATTGAATTTCATATGTTTCAAATTGCATTCCAGAGTGAAGTCCTACATAAAAAAATTAAAGGTTTTACCCTATGGCATTTGGACTAGTGTTTGCTAACTATGTGTGTATGTGTGTGGGTGTGTATGTATGTGTATGTGTGTGTCCTGATTTATAAAGAGAAGATGCATATACTTTGTATTATTGATTGGGGATGAGAATTTTATATATGTACTTCATTGACATTGAGTTAACTTATTTCTATTCATATGTTTAGTTGGATACTTCTATATTAGCAGTTTTTTCCCCATCACTTTCTGGCATACTATCCTTAAATTTACTAGCCATGCACTGTCGTTTAGCAGTTTTTTTCTATCTTGGTGTAACTCCGCCCTTATATTGTACTTGTCAGGAAAAGTACTCCCTAAAGAGGAGACCTACGGCAAGAAATCTGCTGTTTGGAGTTGCTCATAACATGGAAGAGAGATATTATTCCAACTACCAAGTTAATATTTAAGAGATGCTAAATTAGCTTGAACTTTGTACCGTTGAGATATATTCACTAGTTGTCTATTAGTTTTAGAAAGTTATTGATGTAATTATGAAGAATCAATATTGAATCAAGTGTGTTTTTAATCATATTATACTTTTGTAAATGTTGTCCAACATTCTATTATGTTTAAATAAATGTAATACGAAGTATAAGTTTTTTGCTTTGCCTCTATAAATTCATTTTCTTGTAATCTATTGTCTAGGCACAAACAACTATTGTTTGGGCTCAGATAAATAAGGTGCTGGCACACTTGAATGATTCTCATTCATTTTTCTACTAAAAGAATATTGCAAACGAATAAAATCTAACTATAACAAAGCACCATAATTATTGTAATTTTATTAATTCAACTTAGCAATTATTGCACACTTCATGTCCTATTCATAGATAACTTCACATAACAAATTAGCTCATTCCAGTGGCTATTGCCTGTGATCGGGCATTTTATGTCTGTCTCACAGACGATTCCACTTTGCAAATTAGTTTGTTCCATTGTCTATTGTTTGTGACCGGACACTTCATGTCTAATTTATTGACAATTACACTTAGCAAATTAGCTCATTCTAATGCCTATCGTGGTCAAATACTTCATGTCTGATTCACAGACAATTTCACTGACAACCAGTGCTGATTCACAGACGCAACACTGGTGGTTTCTAGAGTAAATGGGGAGTCGGGATCAGCTTATAATGATCTTATTTTTGATGATATTAGACACTTAATAAGTGACAATCTTAATTTATGCATCAGTTGGTGTTCACGATCTGCGAATCGTGTTGCTCATGCAATTGCACGGGCGGCAGTTTCTTTGCCAGGTTGTAGGGATAGTTTTGACGTTCCTCTTGATTCTATTGTAAGCCTTTTGGCTAATGATTCTTTAGATTAATTGAATGTTTGGTTTCCTCTCAAAAAAAAAACATTAGAATGCCAACTAGTTAATACAGATCAGTCGCATTGGAATGTTGGAATGTGTTGACATTTGGGTTGTAAATGATAATGCTTGTTTCTTTTGAATGAGTGGCATTGAGGTTTGAGATGTTGGAGTGTATATGACATTTGGGTTGTAAATGATAGTGCTTGTTCACTTGGCAGGTTAACTTGTTTCAGTGGCTATAGTTTGTAACCAGACACTTTAAGTCGCATTCATAGACAATTCCAATTAACACATTTGCCTGTTCCATTAGCTATTGCCTGTGGCCAGACATTTCGTGCCTGTTTCATAGACAATTCCTCTTAGCACATGAGCTCATTTGCCCAATTCAGTGGCTATTGTTTGTGGTCAGACACCACATATCACGTTCACAAACACTTTCACTTAGTACATTAGGTCCGTTCAAGTGGCTATTGTCTATAACCAGACAGTTCATGCTTGCTTCACAGGCAATTCCACTAATGTACTAAGTGAAAATGTCTGTGAAGCTGCTATGAAATGTCTGGCCACAAACAATGGCCACTTGAATGGGCTAATGAACTAATGTGCTAAGTGAAATTGTTTGTGAAGCAGACATGAAATGTCCGGCTACAGACAATAGGCACTGGAATGAGTAAATGTGCTAATTGGAATTGTCTGTGAACGGGACATGAAATGTCTAGTTACAAACAATTACTATCTGGACACAAACAACTATTGTCTGGGCACATACAACTACTGTCTGGGCACAAACAACTATTGTCTGGGCAACTATTATGGCAGAAAAAAAATTATATATGTATAAATAAAACTCTTCCCATTAATTTTTTCAACAAAAACAATTATCTAATCACAAATATTACATTGTATAAATAAAACTATTGCCCACTAATCACAAACAAAACTGCATGTGTATAAAGTCACAACTAAAAGAGATAATATGTTATCTTTAAACTATTTTACAACATCTTTTTCACTTTCTTGAATCTCATCAATTTCATGGTGATATAGTAATCACTATGAAACAAATAACTACAACAAAGAACCATAATGGATTAAGATGATAAATAAATGTCATCCATTTCATAATACTTTGAGGCCCTGTCCCATTTTTTCCTAGTTTCGCCAAAGAGGAGCATCAAGAGCAGCCAAAGTTTCTGCATTTACTTGAGGCATGTGAGAAAAACTAAATCATTTAGAAGGCTATAATCATTATATTGTGTCTTACACGCTTGCAGGCATAACAAAAAATATATTGAACTATGAGCTCAAGTTGCACTATATTATATGATTCTCACTTGCTTAGTATCCCTAAGTTAAACCCAACATTGAAATACGTCTTTGGAAACATAAAGACTTCATAAATACTTACTTCACCAACATTGAAATTTGATTTTCTTTTTCATAACTCAAAAGATACACCTTTAGAAACATACATTACCTATAATTAAATATGCTATGGGCATAAATGAACTAGAGTAATTATCCTAAAATCGTGATAATTAACACTTCATATCTCTTACAATAAAATCAATTAATCAACTATTAAAGGTTATAGCATACTCAATCATCACCATCATTAGCATACCCAATACGGTGAATCATAATCATCACCAATCCATAATCATGAATCCAAATAGTCATACATTTAACAGTATCTAGTAACATACATAAAATTTGAAAAATTAAAAACAAAGATAGCCTTAAAAGAAAAAACATCTAGCAAATTCACAACAATCAAATAATAGTCAATCAACAATTAATATATCGTAGTAAAACTGGAAGACTAGAAAAATAGTCTAAAACTCATTAGAAACTAATGTATATTAATGCAATAGAGAACAAAATCATGAATTAGAAGAAATTTTCATTGAGTCATTTTAACATACAGATTATGGGCATACAATGAAATAGAGTATTGGGATTAAAATTCCAAAAACTAACACCGCATTCTTTTACAATAAAACAAAAATAAAATTATTCAATATTACAACATACATAAATTCTAGGGAAAATAAATAAAAAAACCCTAAAATGTATATCAAAAAAATCGGAGTAAATTACCTCAATAATGATGATTTTGGGAAGATTCTTCCCATCAAGAATAAATAAATTGGAAGATTGGTGAAGTGAAAGTGCTAGAGAAACTAGAGGAAAAAAGATGAAGTGATGAAGAGAGGAGAGAAAGAAAGTCACGAGTGGGAAGTGTTGTGCGTAGCCGAGAGAAGAAAAAGAGAGAGGGTGAGAGAAAAGTGATGGAGAAGGAAAGGTAAAAAAAGTGAAAAGGAAAGGGTGGAAACTAAAAAAGGTATTTATAGGGTGTACAACTTGTGTACAAGTTATGTACCCTTAGCATTTCTCATGTTTTTAT